TTATCGCTTCAGAGTCCGTGTGGATGATGTGCGGGGGCTGCCGCCGCTACCGTCGGCCGACCCGTTCCGGCGGTGCGGCGTGCGGTCGCGGTGGCCAGTGCGGGGGCCGGTGCCCCGGCACGAAGAACAGATGCAAGAGCTGCAGAGAAACAGGTTGAGGAGATGCAGAGCCAGGCTGGAGGGTGGAGGTGGGAGGTGAAACAGGTGAGGTGACAGGTAAAGTTGGGGGTGACAGGTGGTATTTCAGGTAAAGTGGCAGGTGTATTGGTCAAGGATGTGGGTGAGACAGGTGTGGAGAGAGAGGCAGGTGAGGTTCCTGGTGGAGTGGGTGAGGAAAATAAAATAGCAGGTGAACTAGAAGAGGTAGGTGAACCAGGTGAAGGGAAAGAGGCAGGTGAGGCTGTAGGTGAGTTGGGTGAGGCAGATAAAGTAACAGGTGAGCTGTGTGAAATATCTGAGGTCGCTGGTGACCAGTGTGAAGCAGGTAAGGAGAGAGAGGCAGGTGAGACTGTAGGTGAGTCGTGTGAGACAGGTAAACTAGCAGGTGAGCTGAGTGAGGGGAGCACAGTAGCTGAGGCTGAAGAGATGGAGGCCTGTGAGTCTGGGTGGGGGTCTGCTCCTCTTAAACAGCGCAGTAAGAGGAGAAGCATGTTGACCGTGGAGGTCGGTGGTAAAGCCGGACGTCTGGCCGGTAAACCGAGTGCTGCAGAGAACAGAGCAGCTCTATCTGACAGCAGTGACAGTGAAGGGTCCTCACCACTGTAGAGGGCACTTTAGACACGTTTTATATGTCATACAAATGGCACATTATAGAGCCTTAAAACAGACTAACTAGACAGACTGCTCAGGTTAGTTTGCTGTTAGGATCAGCATCCACGAGAACTTTGTGGATTTCAACGTTGGACTGTGAACAACACACAGCGATGTGGATGTATGGAGGACATAAATCCCCAGGGGGTCTGGGGGTCTTCCCCAAGAACATTTTCAATTAAGTAGATGCCATTTCCTGTATTCTAGTGCATTTTAACACCATATTAGCACCAGATAATCCAAACTGGTTCTGTGAGATATAGTTCTGGCTCAATATAGATCAACAAAGGGTCCAACATAAAAGTCATTGCAACAGTAATGTGTCATAGAGAATCAGACAGTGTGCACTCCTGAATGCTGGGTTTTCAACAGCAACAAAAGAAACTGAATTAAAATAAAACAATATCAAAGCTTAAGCCACAGCTGTTGAAAAGGTGTGAGACACATTTACTGCTCCGTGGAATAAACTGGGGCTCATTCATGTCTCTAAAATTAGCTAGCCTAAATGTATCTAGCCTTCACAAAATTCAGGAAATCTGCTTTGACTGCATTATCTATTTTTATTGCAAAGTGTATCCTAATATACACTAAAGCTACATTCACAGTTTATAATGCTCACCCAGCTCTGTTCTACTTAGCTGATCATCACACTGGTCTCTCTCTCAACTAGCTGCTAGCATTAGCCACTAGCCTACTCAATAGCATTAGCCTACTAACAAGACTTTCTGTCCTTAACTTGCAAGCTGAAGTTTAAAAGGCATTTTCAAGAGAGCATTTTTAAAAATTATCCCAGATGCCACTGGGTGTGTGTCTGACAGCAGTGACCTGTCTCACACTCAGCAGGCTGCTGCTCAGGTGTATCATGCTAATGTACTGAAGTCTTTTTACAACAGACCAAATGGATGAGGAATTTAATGTTAGAACAGTACTTCCCTGATATGCACGGTTTTTATAATTCAGCCAGGTACATTGTAAACCACAGAGCAGAGTCAGAGCTGACTGACCAAGAAGTATTCAGACTGAAAAAACTGATGATTAAAGTCAGGAAACAACTCGTTTTTTAATGGTGGTGAATGTACAGATTTTATTTTTATTTATTTCAGTGTTTGTTTTTAGTCTTGTTCTTAACATCTCCAATGGTGCCAGAGAAATAAGAAAGAGAGCAGTCGTGTTTGAAATGAGTAAAATGAAACATATTGATCACAATCACAGTGATGTTGGAAACGAGGTAGACTGGAGTTTGTCAGTCTGAGGCAGTGGTGGGACCATGGGAAGGTTCAAATTAAACTTGTATGTCAGCAGCACACGCTCAATGTCACACGCGACATCACCAGATCTATCAGAGATCTGGAGACTGATATTGTGGATCTCGAGTCCACAGGAAATCGAGGATATATTGAAATCCTCAAGACTAAAAAGATGGCATTAGCCAACCTGCTGGACATTAAAGTATAGGGTGTGCTGGTCCGGTCCCGGATTCAAAATATCACAGAGATGGATGCTACATCGAGTTTCTTTTTTGGACTTGAGAAGAAACAAGGGCAGAGGAGACAAATCCACTCTCTGCTCTCTGAGACAGGGCAAGAGCTGACCGAGCCAGGCCTGATAAGGAAAAGAGCTGTTGAGTTTTACGCCTCACTGTTCAAAAGTGAGTTAAAAGAGAATGAAGAACTGACGGAGGAGGTCTGTGGTGGACTTCCTCGGGTGTCTAGAGAGGGCTAACACACAGCTCGACAGCCCAATGACTCCACAAGAGCTGTACGCTGCACTGCAGAGCATGCAGGGGCGAAAGGCTCCGGGCATCGACGGCCTCACTGTAGAGTTCTACAAAGCCTTCTGGGACATCTTGGCCCATGACATCATAGATTTATTTAATGAGAGCCTGGTGTCTGGGTCACTGCCACTCTCATGTCGGAGAGCCATAATTACCCTCTTGCCCAAGAAAGGTAATTTGCAATATATCAGAAACTGGCGTCCTGTCTCTCTCCTCTGCACTGACTACAAAATACTGTCTAAAGTCCTGGCCAATAGGCTGAAAGGAACCATGGAGCAGATTCTCCACCGGGACCAGACGTACTGTGTGCCCGGCAGGTCTATGGTAGATAATATCTACTTCATTCGGGATGTTTTGGAGGTCTCCAGTTCATTAGGCATAAACACTGGATTGATCTCATTAGATCAAGAAAAGGCTTTTGACCGCGTTGAACACGACTTCCTTTGGAAGGTCATGGAGAGGTTTGGGTTCAGTGCTGGTCTCATAGCCAAGATCAAAGTGTTTTACAGTGCCATTGAGAGTGTGCTAAAGTTTAATGGTGGCTTGTGTGCTCCTTTTAGAGTGCATAGAGGCGTCCGGGATGCTCTATGCACTCTCCCTGGAACCCCTCTTACAAAAGATAAGATCATCTGTTCGAGGCCTGTTTTTACCTGGTTTTAACAATAGCGTTGTTTTATCTGCTTATGCTGACGATGTCATAGTTTTTATCAAAGATCAACAAGATGTCTGTGTTTTAAATTCCGTAATTGAGAAGTTTTCTGTTCTGTCGGCTGCGAGGGTGAACTGGAAGAAGAGCGAGGCCCTTGCTGTTGGTGATTTGCGCGAAGGCTTCCCTGTTCTCCCTCAAAGCCTGATATGGAGAAGAGAAGGCTTGAAGCATCCTGGTGTTTATCTCAGGAACAGAGACGTCGAAAACAAAAACTCTGAAAACATTATAGAAAAAGTGGATAACAAACTGGCTAAGTGGAGGTGGCTCCACACACAAATATCTTTTAGAGGGAGGGTCCTAATCTTAAATAACCTGGTGGCCTCCATGTTATGGCACCGGTTAGCCTGTCTGGACCCTCCAACAGGTCTCATTGCCCAGATTCATGTAAAGATTGTCAATTTCTTCTGGGATAAATTGCACTGGATACCACAATCGGTGTTGTTTTTATCCAGAGATGAGTGGGGCTACCTGGCTAGTAGGACAGCCACCTTCAGGCTCCAGTTCTTTCAAAAGTATCTGACTGGACCTGAAGATCTGGTGTGGAGAGACGTGGAGAGCTGCATACTCAGGCGTGTCAATAGCCTGCGACTGGATGCTGCTCTGTTTTTAACTGAATTCTTAAAGTTAGGTGGCTTGCCTCCTTTTTATCAGGGTGTTTTTAAATCCTGGGTACTGTTTAAATGTAAAAGAAGTGAGAAGAGTAACTCTCTGCACTGGTTATTGAAGGAGCCTATAATCTATGGTGCCAAGATGGATGTGTGCTGCAGCACCGTGCCTGGGCTGATGGGAGTGCTGTGCAGCTCAAGAGTTGTCTGCCTTAAACAACAGGTAGATGCAGCACGACCGGCACTGACGGATAACCAAGCTCTGGGCTCTGTGCTGGGGGTGCGCTCTGTCCGTCTGACACAGAGGAGCCTGGTGCTCTGGAGGAGGAGGCTGACAGAGAAGGAGAGAGCCCTTCTCCTCAAACATGGCAGGGGAGAGGCTGAGCCAGACCCCACAGACCCTTATCCGGAGATCCACCTGTGCCCTGGTTTCACAGAGCTCAGCGGCCCCCTACTGAGACACAATGATGAGAGGACATTGAGCCTACACAAGGCTGATAAAAAAACTCTGTACACAAATTGTGTTAAAACTATCCACAAAACGCGCCTGTGTGACAGAGCAGAGTGTGTGTGGACTGAGAGGCTGGGTGGGCTGAGCCCTCAGTGGAGAACATTGTATAAACCTCTAAAAAAAAGAACTAGAGATCTCCAGTGGAGAGTTTCACATGGTGCCATTGCCACCAATGCCTTTTTATCTGTTTTTAGTCGCAGTGTTGTAAATGAGTGCCCATTCTGTGTTTTTAACCTATTTGGTGTCATATACGGAGTTGCTGCAGCGGCCCAGGCTCGAATCTGACCTGCGGCCCTTTGCTGCCTGTCATCCCCTGTCTCTCTGCCCCCTTTCCTGTCTATCTTCAGCTTTCCCTGTCTAATAAAGGCATGAAAAGGCCTAAAAAAATAACTTACTGAGGCTGGAGTTTTGCTTCCACAGGGTCACAGGGAATATAGATGTGTTTGAACAGCAGTGGGCTCATGAGGAGCTGTTGTGCCGGGTGACCGGTAGAGAATTAAAATGTACATCCTTCCTCAACTAATTTATTGATTGTATAACTGTTTGTTTGTTTTAAGCCAACTGTAAATTGAGTTGTGTTCATCTGTTCAGGTGAGGACACAATACCAACAAGAACAACAACAAAACCAAAAACAACAACTGATAATGCTTCCACAGAACTAAAAGGTAATGACTCAACATTTGAATGTTTCTCTCTCACGCGTGCTCTCTCGCTCTCCCTCTCTCTGTTGCTCTCTCTCTCCCACTCTCTATTCAAATGTCTTTATTTCTGATAGCACTGCTTCACTTTAGAGGTAAGAATACATATATCACATATATAAATAGCTATATCAATATTACTAAAGAAACTATATTACCTTAATTATCTAATTTCATTTTCTCTCTCTCAATTCAATTCAAATGGCTACAATGTAGAAAATAATAATAGTAACAATAAAGGAAAACAATATGTACAATAATTTAATTATAATCTATACTGTTGGTAATACTGTAACTATGATTGACTCAATCACAATCACAGTCACAATCAATCAATCTCAGTCAATAAGTAATTAATTACAATGAATGAATGAATGAATCAGTTTGTGTCAACTAAAAATGTCATTAAAACAGTAGTACAGTAACAGGCTACAGTTCAAACAAGTAGTCTGTTGTCAATATAACAGTAATAACAAATTATTAAATATAATATATAATATATATAATATTAAAATGTATTAAAATTAAAATTAAATGGATAGATAAAACTGTAAACGTGTGCGTGTGTGTGTGTGTGCGTGTGTGTGTGTGTGTCTATATATATATTAAAAAACAACAACAAAAAACAACAACTAAAACAATCAATTATTTTATACATTTATCTGAGTTTCCACTGGTTGTCCTCAGTTCGTGGCATGAGGAGACATATTTTGCTGCAATAATTTGACTTTTGGGCATTTCTCCCAGTAAATAGGGGAGCTTCTGTGTGTCTGATAATAATTTGAATTCGGGGTATATTTTGTAATGTTTGCGAATTGTTTTTCTCTTGAAGTTTTGAATTTAGAGCATGAGGTTAGAAAATGCAGCTCTATCTCTACCTGTCCTCTGTCACACTGGGAGCAGAGTCTCTCCTGTTCTGGTAGCCAGTTCTGTCTGTGGCGACCCTTTTCTATGGCCAGGCTGTGTTTACTCAGTCTGTACATTATCAACATTTTTCTTAATTTAGGACATTTTATTGTGCTCAGGTAATTTGCCAGTTTGAATTCTCTTTTTAGGGTCAGATAACATTGTAATTTACTTTGTGTTTTGGTCGTTTCTTTCCAGCAATCAATATATTTTTCTTTTTGCTTGTTGATAATTTGGTTTGGTCTGATTGAGTTGGTGTTGCTGTCCTGAGGCTGTTGGGGACATGTTACTGCAGAGAGCCTCAGGACCAGCTGGCTGAGGGGACTCTTCTCTGGTTTCAGCTCCTGGTATGTTAGGGCTTTGTGATGGTATGTCTGGGGGTTAACTGATTTTAAGTGATTGTAAAATTGAATTGATCTTTTCTGTATTTTAAGTAGGAGGGGGTATTGGCCGACCTCTGCTCTGCACAGATAATTTGGTGTTTTTCTCTGTACCTGCAGGATGCTCTTAAAGAACTCAGTGTGGAAAGATTCTATGAATGTTTGGTCCCATTTGTCAAAATCATTATTTAGTTTTGGTCCCCAAATTTGGCTGCCATATATAATTATTGGTTCCAGTACAAATTGGAAGATTTTAAGCCAGATTTCGATTGGAATATAGATTTTATATATTTATTGTATAGAAAGCTCTCCTTGCTTTGTCCCTCAGATCTTTCACAGCCATGTTGAGGTTTCCTGTGTATGTAATGTTGAGGCCAAGGTAAGTGTAGTTTTTTGTATGTTGTAATTTAGTGGTGTCTAAATAGAAATGTGTGTAACCTGATTTCTGTATTGTTTTTGAAAGATCATTATCTTAGTCTTTGCTGTGTTTACTGTCAGGGCCCAGGTCTGACAAAATCTCTGCAGGAGATTAAGGTGCTGCTGCAAACCGTCTTTAGTAGGTGTAAGCAACACTAAGTCATCTGCATATAGCAGACCTCTGATCTCTGTGTCGTTCAGGGTGAGGCCAGGTGCCGTGGAACGCTCTAGTTTGTTCGCTAATTCATTGATATATAGATTGAAGAGAATTGGACTGAGATTGCATCCCTGCCTCACTCCCCGGCCCTGAGAGAGGAACGCTGTTTGTTTCCAATCTTTACGCCACATTCACTTTTTGTATACATGTTCTTAATCAGATCATATGTTTTTCTTCCAATGCCACTTTCAAGTAGCCTATAGAAAAGGCCCTCGTGCCAGATGGAATCAAAGGCTTTTTTGAAGTCAACGAAACATGCATATACCTTTCTTTTCCTAATTTTTAATTCTTGATAATTTAAAGTCTGGAGGGTAAATATACGGTCCGTTGTGCGGCAATTTGGCAAGAAGCCAATTTGGCATTCATGCAGAATATTGTGGCATCAAGAAAGTTGACAAGTCGTTTATTAATGATGTTGCAGAATATTTTTCCCAGGTTACTGGGGACACATATTCCTCTGTAGTTATTTGGATCATATTTATTTACGGATTTATGAATTGGGGTTATTAAACCTTTGTTCCAGATGTCTGGAAAAGCTCCAGTTGACAGAATAGTGTCTCTCTCTCCTTCCCTCTCTCTCTCACTCTCTCTCTCACTCTCTCGCTCTCTCTCCCCCTCTCCGTCTCTCACCTCTCTGTCTTTACAGTTTTTCCAATTGTTAAAGCACAAATATACAAACTAGGCTGGTTTTATCAAAATACTTAACACAATTCACAGAACCACACACCCAAACTGCAAAATACCTCATATATCCTGCAAAATGAAGCACTGCAACCAAAACTACATATAGCATTATCAAAATCTAACTTTTGCACCAAATGGCACACACGTTGATATTACCAGATTTTTGTCGAAGCAACTACACACTGTTGGGCATAATGAAAAGCACTCTCATCTTTAGTAAGCTTTCCCATAATACTAAAATAGTTCAAATTGTAGAAAATTCTTCAGATTGTTCACATGCACAGAAATATTTGCAGATACACACACACACACACACACACACACGCTGTTGAAACATTTATTTTTTTAGTTTTCACCAAACAAGTCATTGCAACATATGCACAGCAGATATATTTACATTTGCGTGAACAAAAATATGTTCACAAAAAACAATAAACTGAAAAAGAAAATTTCAGAAAAAAAAAAATATATATATATATAAAAAAAAGACCTGTGGTCTTTTTATAGTGCTTACTTCCTGATTGAAGTGGTAACAATTAACCATTGAGGTGTTTGGCCAGGTGGCACATGTATAGGCCAATTAGCTCATGTAGTGTCATTTTGAATGGCAGTGTTTTGAAATGGCAAACATGTGACTTTCCAATCCAATCCAACTTTATTTGTTAAGTACTTTAAAAACAACCAAAGTTGACCAAAGTGCTGTACAGGAGAAAAAATAAGACATCATAAATGTAAACAGTGACGGTGTCAGATTGTTGTCTTATGCAGAGAACCGTGTTCAGTGCATTTTAAAATTGCCATTTTGAATTGCAAAATGTGTGTAAAGCAGAAAATGTGTTTAGAGTTTTTGAGACTTGAGAAGAGGTTTTGCTCTCCGTGTGTCAGTTTAAATAATTGTGCTATGCATCTCATTTTAGTGTGTTAGCAATTGGAAAAAAATGTATTGGCAAGAGTGTAACAAAGACAACATCGTCAAAGCATTAATCAATTATAGAGTAAAGTGTGTGTGTTTCACAGAGATTGTGTAAGTGTGTGTTGACATTGATGTATGTGTTTGTTTGTGTGTTGATGTTGTTACTTGTGTGTGTGTGTTGCAGCACACATCGCACATAGCATCGTATACATATATAAGTATTAGTATTAAGTAGTTATATTAGCAAAATATAATCACTCAATAATTTAAACATTTACAAACCATATATAAAAATTAATGATAGCAATAACAAAAATACATTGAATGAAATATATTAATATTATAATATTACTTATAGGTCATCAATTAGGTAATTGCAGGAGGTGATACATTTTGCAACAATCTCTCTCTCTCTCTCTCTCTCTCTCTCTCTCTCTCTGTCTTTCTCTCACAACAATGCAAAAGCATTAAAATGTAAAGAGAATATAAAATATAATCCATGAAATCAAGTAAATATCTGAAGACAAAAAACTCTGTGTGTGAGTGTGTGAGTGTGTGTGTGTGTGTGTGTGTGTGTGTGTGTGTGTGTGTCAGAGATTGAGGAAGTGTGTGTGGGAAGTTGTTAGAGTCGTGTGTGTGTTAAAGGTACTGTGCGTGTAGCGTAGCATAGAATCATATACACATATAATGATGTTATAATAGCAAAATATAACCATTCAATTATTTACAGATATCTCTCTCTCACTCTCTGTGTGTGTCTCTCTCTCTCTCTCTCTCTCTCTCTCTCTCTCTCTCATTCAGTCTCAGTCTGATCACTACATTCACAGTAAACAAAGAGCTTTTAGATACTGACAGTCACTTTGTGTTTCTGTTTTAAGTTGTTTGTGTTGTTTCATTAGTGAATGGTTGAATGTTCTGAGTTGCTCTACACAGCGGCTGTTGAGGAATCACTATTTTCAAATGTTCCTTATATTCCTACCGACTCGGAAACAAATCTTTTTGAGAGAGACAAATAGGTTGAACATATTTCCCAATCTACATAAAACAGATGTTTAAACTCTTGACAATCACATGTAATTCTCTTTTAGCTAAATGACTTTGAACAGAACAGACAGCTGCAGCCAAAATGCAGTTTGTGATGCCAACATGCTGATGTTATGTATAATACTAATAACATTGTCCTTCTGATTAGTTGACAATAACTTTCTTCACTGACATTATGTTTCTGTTGCACAGCTCGTACAGATTGGTCTGTTCTGAACTACATAATGTTGGTTATGCGTGTGGCTGAACTCCTCCTAATTACTGTGATTACTGTTCTTCTCATCAGAGCTCGAGGTGAGAACATTCAGACCAACATTTGTTTACACTGATTAACACAAACTGTAAGTTTAGAGCTGAAATGTTACTCTGTGCTTTATTTTCCAGAGAACCAGAGACCACCTGATGA